TAATAGACCAACTAAAAAATAGCAAAAAAAATTTTTTCTTTGCAAGCTTTCGGGCACACACACCCTTCTTCAGGCTGAGGATAAATCAAAGATGGTAAAAATCCTTTTAAATAGAAAATAAACTTCATTTTGCACAGGATTTTGTTTTCTCCCTAAGAGGATTTTTATCATCTTTGATTTATCCTCAGCCTGAAGAAGGGTGTGTGCGCCCAAAAACTTGCAAAGAAAGACATTTTTTTGCTATTTTTTAGTTGGTCTATTAAAAGGTATCACCTCTGAATCAAGAGTTCTAGAGTTTTGTGTTTCTCTTTTCTCGCAGACCAGCACGGCTGCAAAACAGATCCCAGACACAGGTACTGCTTTTCAGAAACACTGTACAGCGGTTTTATTTTTGTACAAAAACATTCCACCTGTCTGTCATACAAAAAAGTACACAATCTGTGTTAGAAAAAAGAGCTTTCCCAGAAGAAATGGGAAATAATCGTTTATAAATATTCTCTACAGTTTCTTAAAGCTTAAATTCCCAGTTCTGGGAGGTTTTTTGTTTCTTTTTTAAACTTCTACACGTTTGTGGAGCACATTGGAGCACTCCTGCACCTCAGTTGGTGTGTGTGTATTTTCCTTTTCCTTTCTCTGTTGCTTTTCGCATAGACCTACTGATGAGTTTGTTATCTTGGGCAGTGCTTAGCTAAAGGATCCTTTGTTACCAGCACACTGATGCCTCTTAACTAAGTCACAGATGTCTTTCATTTTAGCAGTAGCTAAAAAAACCCCAACCTCTCTCTACACACACATACTATGTACAGCCACAGAAATCCAGGCACTTAGTCATATGCTGAGCAGTAAAATTACAGTGTCTACTTCCTAAGTGTATAAGCCTCTTGGAAAATTGCACATTACACATTTTGGGGTTTATTTTAATTTAAGTTAACCCTTCAGTGTTCCTTGTCCCGAATGGGACATGCCCCAGGTGCGAACAATGGAGAGCATTCATCCTGGCAGCCTGAACCCCGTCAGGCTGGGGCTCTCTTGGACCGGTGAACTGTGACCTTCTCTTAGTCTCTGTTTTGGTTTAGAAGTAGGACGGCTTTAATGCTGTGGTGGTGTTGTTATTGCTAGGGTAGTGTGGCTGCATCAGGGGGACCTCGCATTCTAAGCTATTTGGCAGTGTCGTGTTCTCTGGCAGCTTCTGGCTCTGGTTTGATAAGTCTCCATTTTCCAGGCATGTTTTTACACCTTCCAGCTCCAGGGGGCTGGAGTCCACATCTGTGTTGGAATGCGTTTTAGCCCGGTGGTGCCGGCGGTAGTACATGATTGTGGCCACGGCAACTACCAGCAGCAGCCCTGCAGCCAGCGCAGGCACGATCATGAGCGTCAGGTTGCTGTCTTTGCTCTGAGTGACAGGTGAGTGTTGCTGGTGAGTCACATGCAGGGTCTGGGCATCTATACAGAACTCCTCCTCGGAGATTTTCTCCCCTAGCGGCCCGATGCAGATGTGATAGGTTGAGTTGGGTTTCAGCGCGCGCACTGTGTATTCAGAGAGTGATGCTGGCAGGCTGAGTGTGACTGGCCGCTTGTCTGGCCCAGAGAGGTTCCTATAGGTCAGGCGGATGCCCTTCAGTTGGGCCTTGGACTGGATATAATTTTGCAAATCCACTTTTAGGGAGGTGCTGCCGACCTGTTTAATATTTATTTTCTTGTTCTGAGTTGCCGTCTGGGTGATGGTGGAGATAGTTGTTTTCCTGACCTCAGACTCGCAATACAAACCTGAAAAGCCAGCAGGGCACACACACTCCAAGTGGTTATGGTCATTTAGCTGGCAGGTGCCACCATTTAAGCACGTACGAGGAGGGCAGATTTGCACCTCGGCACTTGTCTGTCTATCCAGAGCAGTGAATGGTATTGCAGTACTGCTGTCCTGCCTGAGCACTGGCTCTGGGGTAGGGGCAGTGGTGCTGGGGTCCAGTGGAAAGTGCTTGTTAGTGGTGAGCAGCATGGCAGGCTTCAGCGTGGTAGTTTTCAGGGTGGTGGTGGTGGTGGTAGTGGTGGTGGTTGGACATCCAAAATCAACATACTCCAGTTTCTGGAGGAGCTTGCCTGCATTTTTGGGGGGGAAATGGCACCTGGTTTCCTCTGGCCTCTTGAGTGCTACCTTGCTCGTGTGCACCCAGTGCACAAACCAGCTCATCTGGCAGATGCAGTTAAAAGGATTTTCTGCTGCTGTAATGGCTTTGAGTCTAGGGAAGAAGGTGGAGAAGTCCCTGGGGATCGTGTTGAGGTTAAGATTGCTGATGTCCAGCTCTAGAAGGTTCTGCAGGTCATGGAAATCCTCTGCCTGTAGCTGAGAGATCTGGGCATTGCCGGCCAGGTTGAGTTTGGTGAGGCCTCGCAGGCCCTGGAGGACCTTTGGCACTCTGTCTAGCAGGTTGTCTGAGATGTCCAGCTGATGAAGATTGTTAAGGTTCTCCAAGAGCTCCTCGTCCAGGTGGGTCAGTCCTAGCCCTGCTATTTTGAGAGACTCTATGTTAACTGTGTGAAAGGTGCCAGACTCGATCGTGGCCATCTTGTTATGGCTTATGTCCAGCAGGAGGAGGTTGGGAAGGTTCAGCGGTGGCACAGACTGCAGCTGGTTGTTCTGGAGCTTCAGTTCGAGTAGTTTCTCCAGGGTATCGAATGCAGCAGGATGGATATGCTGGATTCGGTTCTTGTCCAGATAGAGGCGCTCCAGGAGGTGCAGGCCATGAAAGGTCTCGTTGGTGATCTCTTGAAGCTGGTTGGAGGATAGGTCCAAGTTGATGAGGTTTGTGAGGGGCTGGAAGACATTCTTTGGGATGCTGGAGATCTTGTTTTGAGAGAGATCCAGTAGCTGGAGTTCTGGCAGGCTCTTAAAAGTGTCTTCTCTGAGCAAGGTGATGTTGTTGTTAAATACATACAGATTGGTCGTATCTCTTGACAAGACAGCTGGGATGGTGTCGCCCTTTCGTGACGTGCAGAATATAGTCTGTGGCTGATTGCAGACACAGCCTAAGGGACAGTCCTGGCCAAGGGCCACTGAGGAGAGGAACAGCAGCATCCACAGGATCAGCTGGTTCATGATGTTGTCTCTGGAAGGAAAAACCAGACCAAGGTTACATGCTAGGTTGCCTTGGCAGGGGAGGTATGAAGCGGGTATTAAGGATTGTGTTAGGCCCCAGAGCATTGTATAAACCTCCAATTTGTTCTCATACTTCCAGGATTCAGGTGCAAGGGTGGGAGAGGTAGAGGAGAGCACTGGTCAAATCTGTAGGTGGAGGTGGGTAACATGTCATAATACAGTTTACAAATGCTAATCAAGATGATGAAAAATATAGTGAGGTTAAGATGATCTGCTCCTGGGCAGAAGGGTCTGTGAGATTCATCTTCACAGAACTTGGGTCTGGATTTTGACATGCCCCTGAACCAAATTTCTGGACCCAGAGAATATTAGCCTTGATCCTCTGGGGTCAGCAGACAACAGTTTATGGGCTGCAGTGAGACTCGCTGGGGTGGCAGGTTCTGCTGGACAGACCAGCTGGCAGTAGATACCGTAACCGTGAAAATCTCTAGGGAGCAGCAAGCACACAGACCCGCAGCAGTGACTCCGTATCTGCTTATCCCATGTTTCCATCCCTCAGTCCAAGAGGGAGTGTTAGGAAGTAATTGTAAGGCTTCATGTGGAAAGTATTTGCCTGTTTTTGTTCCTGTTGCTAATAATGAAGTGACCTGTCTTGGATTGGAGCTGGCAAAGCAGAAGGTGGCTATGTAGGCAGCTGGTACTATTTGGGCAGGTGGTGTTAGCCAAAGCTCTTGCCTTCCTCTTCTTACCGTCATGGAGTTATCTGGGATGGGGGGGCGTTATTGCTGATGAAGCTGACAAGGGCAGTGAGGAGCAGGTGGGGCAAAGGAGAACCCTGCTCCTGAAGGGATTCTAGTGTGCTCCCCTGTCCCTGCTCAGTCTATTGAGTGTACTGACCATCATGTGATCCCTGTGACTCCAACTGCTTTGCCCCCTGATGGGCTCTCTGCTTCCTGTCCAGCAAGTTATTGGGACTGCAGCAGGTCTGTCAAGCATAGGCAATTGTTACTGCAGTGCCCTCTGCCAGATGTAGGTTCTGAGATACTTGGCCTGTCCTCTGCTCTCCTGCTATTCCATCTTCATAAAGTAGCCCTTCCAGAGCACCTCGTCACCATCACAGCACAAGTTAAACCCAGCTCAGGGCATTGCAGGAGGAACCAAACCAGGGGAAGGGCTTGGCCAGAACAGGAGAGAACAGAGTGAGGTGCTTGTGGGCTTCCACATTGTGTTTTAGGGGGAGGGTGGACAGGGAAGATCCCCATCCTCATCCAGTTGCCTGAATGCAGCTGTGATCCTGGCAAGGCTGAGCAGGGACACTCGGGTTTATACTCATGCATGCTGCAGAACTGAGCCATGTTAACCAGCTCTGCCTCCTATTATGTGTATCAGGGTAGCAGCCAAGAGGCCCAGCTGTGGCCAGCACCTCCTTGTGCTGGGTGCAGTATCAACATGGAGCACAGAAAATCTAAGGTCATGAACATACCCACTCTGAGCGTGAGGGAGATGCCACAGTGCAGCATGGTAGTCCTTAGGTGATGTTTTATGGGATATTTCCAATCCCTTCCAGATAGCGCTGAAGCCCCTTGCTGCCTTTTCCCCCAGCATACACCGCCTGAACTCCCCTTCCCACAACCTCGTGTCTTAGCAGTCCTGCAAGAAGCAGCTGCCCAAGCAGTGTCTCCAGTACAGGCTGTTTTGAGCCCATCTGTCTGCCTTGGGGCAGGTCCCTATTTGCAGCCAGAGTGACCTCCCCAGGTCTGCACGGGGCTCTGCCCCTGGAGAAGAGGGCCCAGTGAGGTAGGGGAGTCTCTTTCGTGGTGGGCTGCTCTGCTGAGGGAGGAGGTCTCTGGTCCATACTGACACATGCCTGATGTTTACCAACAGAGCCAGCCCCCTGCGGGAGTTTTCCCTGTGGCTCTTGCCCCCAACATAGCTGAGAAGCGCCTGCCTGTCAGCATTGCTTGACTCCTGCCTACCATCCCTCTCCCCATCACCCTGATATTTATATACCTCGGGGCCCCTAGGCCCAAGGATTGAAAGGGCTTTCAACACCCAGGCACCTAAGGAGGTGGGGGGTTCCTCAGGCTACCTTGGCATTATTGCCAGTCTTCCTGAATAAGTCTGGAGCAGGGAAGCCTGGTTCAAGGGCTGGGCAGGTTAGTGCAGAGTGAGGTGGTGAGTGCCTGGGGTGACCTGTTTTACCCACACAGGTTCTTGTTGCTCATTTGCAAAGTACTAATGAAAGCTCTTTGGGGAATTTCTCCTCCCTGCATGTTTCTAAACACAGCAATAGCAAACCACTGTCCCCAAGGCAAGAGCAGTACTGCAAGACTCTCTGTCCCAATGCAGCCAGTGTGTGGTGGGTTCAAGTCCTTCACAAATGACCAGCACACGCTTTGTGGACAGAGCAGATCTCTGTGTTCAGTGGGTCCTGGTGCCTCTACCCCTGCTCCCCCCACTAACCCCTGCCTGCCTGCCCTGGGTGTCTGAAGAGAGGAAGCTGTCTCAGTGTCCCTGCACTTTGGGACAGTTTGCTGCAATTTGAGGTCATTGCTTCTAGTCCTGTCAATAAGCATAACCCTGTCCCCTGTGTCTATCTCCATCCTCTTCATAAGAACCTTTCAAGTATTTGGAGCTGTCTCATCTCTAGACTAGATAATCCTAGTTTTTTCAGCCTTTCATCATAAGTATTGCTTCCCAGGCCTCTAATCATTTTTGTCAATCTCTGCTGGACTCTTTCTAATCTGTATACTTCTTCCTTGAAGTGTAGGCCCAAAACTGGACGCAGTGCTCCAAGTGAGGCCTCACCAGTACTGAATAGAGAGGAAGTGACACTCCTCACCCATGTCTCTCCCACTAACCCTGGGAAGCCTGGATCCCAGCTGTTTTGTCAGTGCTTGCTCAAACTAAGCAATACTCTTGTGCCCTGTGGAGTCCCTCAGAGTGCTGTAGCTGGGCCTTTGTCAGCAGGAGCCAGGCCAGCCGCTAAAGGGACAAGGTGTGTTAGAATCTCAGCCAAGTGCATATTGGCAAGGGAGGTTTTTGCTGCAAGATTATTGTTCCTCCTGGTTTTGTGGGATGAGGCTATGTTTCTTGGGGTGTTTCTGAGTGGAGCTTTTTTACCGCTGCAAGTACATTGGGGCTGACAAAGCAACATCAGTGTCTAATGCAGAGTAGCTCAGCTTGCTGGGCATGTTCCATAGCTGGCAGCTGCCTGCATTTAGAGGATATGCCCAAAAGCCCTTTAACAGCTGGGGAGCCCAACTTCCCCATGCTGTATGCCAGCACGGAGATCTGTGTGCACTTTTGTCATTGGCCCAGATAGTCACTGAAATGCCTGCAGCGTGCACAGGGCCCTGATTAGTGGTTCTCTTGGCAAAAGTATTACTTCTCAAGGGAAGGGTATGACTGTACCAGCTAATTCCAGGCAATGTGCAGATGGACACTGAGTATCTCCCTGCCTGCATTGCACAGGACCACAGGGGAATGGATGCCCCCAGCAGGGGTAAACTAGGCAGTGATAACTGACAACCTCAGTTAAGCAAATGCACCTTGGGGATTATTGATGGCTGAGTATGGAACTCCTTTTGCTGATGGCCCCATCAAAATGACAGTCCAGTGGCAGACACGTACCATCACACTACACCCTCTTTGGAGCCTCCTCTATATTTTCAAGAGCCCTACCCATTTTTCTGCATGTCAGCTTCGACCTACCCACCCTGCCTACCCTATGTCTATGCCTCTCAGTTGTCTGAGAGACTGAGCCTCAGTCCAGGCCAGCAAGGCCTCTGGCTTGACATCACCACCCCCACTTCTCCCCCCACGCCCTTGGAGTCATCTTCAGTCCAACACTCAGACAATTGTTGGATGCTCCTCAGCCCTGGATTCCTTCCACCCAGAGTACTGGAGAGGCAGCTCTGAAAGCCTTCCATGCCTTAGTCATAGCACTGGGTGGGAGTGTCCAGAGGCTGGGAGGTCAGCAGCAACGCAAGGAACATCTCTGGGGTTGTTTCATATGGAGCATGGTCATCATGCAGTGAACTGTTTCAAGTAGAAGATTCTCCATTGGATTTAATTGTATGAGCCCTGGAAATGGCATGTTCTGGGGGGGATCTGGTCCCTTCCACTTACACAGGGCAAAGAGCATGCTAGGGAACTCCATGTTAAAGCAGCTGAGCTGTTTAATTTCTCCCATGCTACCACTTTGAGACTTGTCTGCTGTCAGGGGCATTGCTTTGAAGCTACTGTTAGTAGCTCCCTTCATCGAATCATAGGAAATTAGGGCTGGAAGGGACTTTAGGAGGTCATCTAGTCCAACCCCCTGCTCAAAGCAGGACTATCCCCAACTAGATCATCCCAGCCAGGGCTTTGTCTAACTGTGTCTTAAAAACCTCCAAGAATGGAGAGTCCATGACTACTCTGGATAACCTGTTCCAGTGCTGTACTACCCTCCTAGTGAGAAAGTTTTTCCTAATATCTAGCCTAAACTTCCCGTGCCGCAGCTTGAAAAGATTGCTCCTTGTTCTGTCATCAGCCACCACTGAGAAGAGGCTCTAGCTCTATGGAACCCCCCTTCAGATAGTTGAAGGCTGCTATTAAATCCCCTCTCAGTCTTCTCTTCTCCAAATTAAATAAGTCCAGTTCACTCAGCCTCTCTTCATAAGTCATGTGCCCCAGCCCCTTAACCATTTTCATTGCCCTCCACTGAACTCTCTCCAATTTGTCCACATTCTTTCTGTAGTGGGGGGCCCACAACTGGACACAGTATTCCAGATGTGACCTCACCAGTGCCAAATAGAGGGGAAGAATCACTTCCCTGGTTCTGCTGGCAACACTCCTACTAATGCAGCCCAGTATCCTATTAGCCTTCTTGGCAACAAGGGCACACTCTTGGCTCATATTCAGCTTATTGTGCACTGTAACCCCCAGGTCTTTTTCTGCAGAGATGATGCTTAACCAGTCAGTCTCCAACCTGTAGCAGTGCATGGGATTGTTCTGTCCTAAGTGCAG